AAGGCAAGCTGTGTCCACAGATCAAGTGTAATTACTGTAGTTCAAGGGGATCAACGATCACAACTGGTCTAAACTGAGATTTTAATAATCGTTTATCATTCTACTACGGCATACTTCTGCTCATTACGTTCTTAGCAAAACGTTGTAAAGAACTTGTTGATGTATTCCTTTACGAATTGATCGTCGGAGATTTGGGTTCCTCGGATCTTTTAGGCTGTATTGATTTTGTAGTACTTTCCAGATCAACAAGGAACTTTTTGCTCAAAAGAAGCGCCATTCCACTATCCATTATAACGAATTTTCTCACTCTCCCTTTCCATCACTAAAAGCATGTATTTTCAGCTATCTGCGATAGAACTACTGACGACCAAGGGGTACAGCTAGTCTGTAAATCTTTCCACATCGGGTCAGAGAATAATTTAAAATTCCCAGTTAGAACTGTAACTTAAAAGCATTATTTCTCTTTTTGTTCTAAAACTTTTGTCTGTACTCCAAGACAGCAAATAGTATGTATGTTAAAGCAAGTTTTTATTTATTGTTAATAATTAAAAGTGCCACATCAAAACGTATCACTTAAACAACTATTTGAATCATATGAATAGCCCTTTAATGAGTTACCAACTTAAACGTCACAACTTTTATGCGGCAAAGATGCACCGTCGAGTATAATGAATGTCAAATAATGAAAGCGGTTCAGGTTATAAGAGAGTCCATTGAAATAAACTCTCACCACACTTTTCTTGAATACATTTTCCTTAGCTGAAAAGCAAAAGCAAGCTTGGCAACACTGTTAAAAGTGTTGTCTATGCGCCTGACAGGACATGCAATGTGTCGAATTTTCGCTGCTTGTTTGCCATGCTGCCAGCCAATTAACTTTTACTTTGGCCGAGATGGCTGGTACGAGTATGGGGGCGTTGGCTTTCACGTCTATGATAATGTTGCACTCTTTTCTTTATAATTTTGAGTTGTTGATTTAAAGGCGCCTTTCATGAGCGTTTCTAGGCAGCTTCTTGGGTGAAAGTGGTGGAGTGTGGATTGTGGAGCGGCGCCGCGGCGTCGAGGCCTCCAATGTTGTTGTCAGAGTGCGTTGAACTCAGAACTCGTAGTGTGCTGCCATAAATCTCGGCTTGCAGCGAACAGTTCAGGTGCATTGCCCTCGTCGTTCAACAATGAAGACCTGAATACACACAGACACACACACACACACGCACACACATACATGCAAACGTGCATGTTAGCCACAAAATTTGCGGAACATAAATTATGTGAAAGAATGTTTTTATGCTGCTGCTCGGCTGGAAAGGTTGCGGCTGCTCTTGATGATGCTGTTGATGTTGCTGCTGCACCTAAACGTCGTCTCCTGGCGACTCAAGCTGTTTGCATGCCACTTGACACCTCCTCAATGACAGTCGCTGCCGTCGTGCGCAAACTTTTCGACCCTACTGTTCTCTCTCTCTATCTCTCTGTCTGTCTCTCTCTCTGGCTGCCTGACTGTTTGTTCATGTGACCTGTCACACACCCGCTTGTGGTCCTGCTAAGTATTTGCTTTATGGCTTCCTTATGGCCCAAAAGACAACCCTTTTCTTGCTTCCCCTCGCTTTCCCTCTCAGTTATTTACGCCCTGCAGTCTGAAACTTTGCTCCTTGCCTGTTGGCAACTTTATTATTTAAATATTTGTTGCAAAAATTTGCCTGTCTGCCCTGCTCCGACGAGTATTCCTACTCCTGCGCCCTCTTCCTAAGTGAGGCAATCATTTTTGTGGCTCTTGCCTAACTTTTATTGGATAATTAAGCGTGTGTCTATGGGCGACTGCAGCATGTGTGGGCGAGCTTCTCTGGCTTCTCCGGCTTCTCCGGCGTTTGTCTTCTACATCTTGTGGCTTACTTTGCTTGGGGTCTGTGCATAAATCTGCAAGTCAAAAGTTTTTGCCTCAACCACAACATAAATATTTGAAAATTAAAAGCCACCATCCAGCCATCCAGGCCGCTTATCTGCATTGTTGGCTTAACGCTGCAGCTGCAGAAACTCAATGAAAATTTATGAAACTGTGGCAGCGTCATAATGCAAGCCACATAAGCGCATAACCATGAAGCAGGGCATAGCAGGGATTGGGTGAAAAAATTTCAAACTTTAATATGGAAACTGCTCGAGTGAACTGCAAAAAAGTTTACACTTCCACTCCTAGTCTTACGTTCGCAAAAAGGTATGTGTGTAAGCGGCAAATGTTATGGCAAGAGTTACCATTGTTTGTACAAATGTTAATCAATTCTGTAGTAAGGAAACAAATTTATAATTTTGTTTACCGTTTACACTTGGCTTTATGTTAAAACCTTTGTTTCTGCAAATATGTGCTTAAACTTTATCCAATAACGATGTAAATATAGAAGAATAAACAATGCAGGGTGTCTACGCCACTGTGCAGTTCCGTTTGGGGATCAGTTGTTGGGATATGAAGAATATATTTGAAAGATTCTAAAACATTTTTATACCCTGTACCTAAAGGTTAAAAGGCTATATTAGTTTTGTGCGAATGTATGTAACACGCAGAAGGGGGCGTGGCAGACCCCACAAAGGCGAGTCGATATAGCCATGTCCTCTCTGTCTGACAAACTGACCGTCTGTCCGTCTGTATGAACGCAAAGATCTCAGCAAGTACAAGATCTAGAATAACCAAACTTGGTCCGAGAAAAGACGGGCTTATATTTAATTTAATTTAAATCATTAATTGAATTTTTTTTAAATATTTAAATTTTTTTTTAATATTTTTTAATTTTTTTTAAAATAAATTTTTTTTAAATTTTCCCTTTTGGTGGAGAGTACAGGCTTGCTCGACTGCAGCGTTCTATCTTGTGTTTTAGTAATTTAAATGAGTTATAATCAAAATTCTAAAAGAGATATCGGAGTTATAATAACATTTTAGCTCTTGATTACAGCTTTTAAGTGTTCAGAGCGAGACTTTTTAGCACTTGTCGCGATTCAACTATACCACCCGACTACTTGTATATACGTGTATGTAACCTTGAAATCAGTACAGTCAAAGGCTTAAGTTTTTAAGAGCATTATATTATCCTAACTTGCTTTGTACAATGCGACCCTTTGAATTAAAAGGTCTACCAATAATCCCATTAGGTACTTTGCCTTTTACGAGCTGTTTTGACGGCTTCATTGAAATCAAAAGCAAATCATGTTGATGTGTGGCGGTGAACCACGAGCCAATCCCCTCCAGTTACCATAGATAATTACATTCTCAGTTTCAACATATGAGTATTGGGAGCATGTTACATGACGGCAGTTACGATGGGGAAGCATAAATCACAAACAAATTGAATTATCATTGCGTCATTAAAATCTCATTTTTTGCCACACACAATGAATAATACGGGAAAAGAAGGTGAAACGATATAATTATGTTGCAATATGGCGCCCTCAAGCATGACCCCCGCCTACGACTACAACAACAACAACAGCAATTACTGCAACCAACAGAAACAACAACAACAGACGCGCGACTTCGGCAATTAGAAGTTGAAGCTCGTTGAGCTCCAAAAGCGCGTGAGTTCAGACAAACACAATGGCCGACTGATTTCGTTTCGCTTTGTCGAGCTGTTGACAAATGAAAAACCTATATGAAAAGTTTATAAACTCGTATATGGGCTTGGAAGCTGTTGTTGTTGTTGTTGTTGCTGTAGTTGTTGTAGTTGCTGCACCCAAGCGCAACAGTCGCTGCTGCCTTAAAAATAATGTATAAATCACGGAAATTGAATGAAAACTTTCAATTGTTGACATGCAATGGGGTACAAATGGGAGTATCTGGGGAGGCACTAGGTAGTGCCTGAATGGACCGAAAGTAAAAGTAAGTTACAGTTACAATGGCACTGCATTGATATTGTTCTTCAACATTGATAAGTATAAGTTATAACATAAGCTTGTTTAAACAGCATTGGAAGTCTGCACTCGAAACTGAACATTATATACAAGTATAGACTGCCAATTAAATTCAAAACAATATGTGTTGTTTGAAAATGATTTTGCATTCCATCTGCTGTCAGTTTGCTTTAAAAATTGAATGCCAGAAAATGTGGATGTGGAATTTGTAAAAGTGATAAAACAAGAGTTTTTACAAATGTTGTCAACACAAAATAACAAAAACTAACATAAAGGGGTCTTCATTTTTAATAAAGCCAATTCGCCTTTGCCTTTGAAGTGGACCAATGGCTTATGAGTCCAGTATTGTTAGCACTCCATCGAAGCCCACAAAATTTCTTGTTTTAGAGATCGATTTGCTAATTAGATGAATTATGATAAATAAAACGTTTAACTTATGGAAAATTTTTCGTATTATTAACATTTAATGGAAACTATTTTCTATTGTTTGGAAATACATATACATTTAATAATTTTTTCGCGAATGTTAAATTCTTCTTCTTTTTGAGAAAACAAATTACGTATTAAAAGAACGCATTTCTTGTTAAGTTAATTGGGATAACAATAATCTCGTATAACCTTCTATAACTTTAAAATATCTCCTGTATTTTTTTTTTAAAATGAACTGACGGCACGATCCTTAAATTGTAAACGTCAGATGAACTGAGATGGGATATAAGGGGCGGAACAACATTCGTAGTGTATGGAAGTAATTCAAATTCAACTTGTTCTTTCCTTTCTTTAATAATTACTAGAGTTGTCAATTTCCGAAAAGTTTAGCGGGGATATTAACAGAATGTTTGTGATTGGCATTTATAAGTCTCAAATATTTTTAGAATAATTTTTAATATTTTTGTTAATTCTATTTTCTAATATACTTGTATGTGTTTTGAAAAATAATGATTCTTCACCAAATAAAGCGGATAAAGTATGTCGAATCAAGATATATTTTTAAAATAAGTATTTGGAACAGAAAAAAAATTCTTTTTAGATATTGAACTTAATTTTCAAAGATCAGATACGTATAAATTCGTATCAGAGTTTTGATATTGAACTGAATTTTTTAGAGTACTTACGAAAAAATATAGTTCCACATTGTTGGTTCGCTTGGGCGCACACACTTGGGAGCGACTGTGGCAGCAACCGCTGTCCTCGCTGCACCGATGAAGGATGGTGCAGTGCGGACTGTAGATCTTGGAGGGATCGCGTTGTATGCTCTCACAGCGACGCTGGGGCACCCTACAATTGGCCTCGTTTATTACTTGATTAAAATGTGCTTTGGCCAGGTCTGCGAAATGGGAGTATGTTAGTTGGAGGTTGTCTAGGGATTGCCGGTTCTGCCCTTGACACTTACCTCGATCCCGTTGCTGGACGTGCAGACGACGTGCCTTCTTCACAGCTTCCGCTGTGCCTAGTTGCTCCACTTTTCGATTTGTCAGTTTTCCGGGCAAGTAGTTGCGTGAGTAAATGTTTTCGTCATTCGCCAAGAACTGCAAAAGAGCGTATAAAAATGAGTTAATATGCTTAGAAAAACTTTCGCTTCTGGCTACACCAATTGCCACTTAAATCAAATTTGTCAAACTTCGCCCTCATGGCTGTTGAAGCTCTTAAAGTTGTCTTTGTTGCCTACTCAGAGCTGTCAGCGCTCATGTGGCGCGTGACCGCCCAGCCAGCATTGTTTGATCTGCGGGCTTGTGGCATGTAATTAATGGAATTTGGCCGCAACTTGGAGGCACGTGAGTAAAGACAAAGCCATGTTTAAGGTGGGGAGCAGGGGTATTGCCGTTTTTGTTAAGTTCCATAAAATAATGGTACTGCTTTCATCAATAAAATAGATTGCCAACCTCTAATTAAATTGTTTATTGATTGCTGCTTCTTTTTCTATCTTCAAAGTCGAAGTTTAACAGCGTCGAGAAGAATTAAGAGACGAAGGGTTCCATGTGAAAAATTGCTTGCTTCCATTTAAATTAAAAAGTGAACAGAAGAATCTCGTGAAAAGAATTTTTTAAGTAAGGCATTTCTCTTGCAGCACGTCGTCAAATTGTAGGAAAAGGAATATCGCATAAACACACTTGTACTGATTATTGAGGAATTGATAAATAACACATAACGTTTATTTGGTTATCCTAAGATTTTGCTTAGTTTTTCGAAAGTGAATCTTTATTTCGATAAAGTTTCGTTTTAACAATGATTTTTTATGTGATTTAAAAAGAACTATATCAATAATTGAGTATTGAAATACATTATTGATTTCCACTGCCAATATACTTTTTTATCACTTCTCTACTCGATTTCCATTTCGATTTAAAAGTGAAAAGGAGAATCATCTGAAAAGAATTTCTTAAAGAAAGAATTTATTTTGCAGCAGGTTGTTTTAAGGTCCTAATTGTTTTTAGATAATTGAAGAATTTGTATTAAATCATAAGGAGATTAACACTTTCTTCCGAAAGCACTATCTCTGTCTCTTTCTAGCGAGTTGGGTTATCAATAAATCTAACTTTACATCTGTCTCTACAAAAATGAATGTCTGGCCAAATGCCATTAAGTTCAAGAAGCAAGTGTAAAATAAATTTAGTTTTGGTCCGTTTAGCAAGAGCAAAGCTTTTCTTCCACCTATCTAACCACTGTATGATCATTTCAAAAGAACCCATCGAAACGACTTGACGTGTCACACAACTGACTTGGCTTTCACAGTAAATTAAACGTTCACAAGAAATACGCAGCCTGATTTGTAGGCATTTCTCGGCTCTTGCTCAAGTGTTAACAGGTCATTGGCTTTTGGGCAATCATGCAAGGATAACGAATTGTACAGGAGCTCTTTGCCAACTCTGCAAACTCTGTGCTCCTCTCCAAGTTTTAGACAAAACACATTATAGTGTTCACATCGTAACTGTCAGCAGCCAATTGTTTACAAAAAAACATAATAAGTGGTCATACTTACAAGTAGTATGAAAAAATAAATTTGTATTAAAAAATAAATAAAGAAATGTATGGTTAGCCTTTTAATATGACTCTAGAGATATACATTTTGTTTTTTAAAATATTAAATATGTATTCAGTCTATAATCTTCTCAAACAAAAGCAAAGCGAAGATAAGACAAGGCAAGGCATCAGACCATTATAAAGTATAAATGATATAGAATGGACACGGATATCGAGAAGTGTTCTTAAAAGAGGTCGTCAAATTCACAGAATGGATTCGAATATCGAGAAGTGTTCTCAAAAGCGGTCGACGAATTCTGTCGCTGTATTTGCGGTATTAAAGCCCCTGTTTGCCATAATCGATATCGTTTTCGACTGGTTTTTAAGAACGTTGATGATATTGGAAGTTCAATGTGCTTAAAAATGAAGTCGTATGTTTTCTATTCTCTAATTTGTTTTATTATTTATTTATTCTCTAGACTTGGTTTTGCATTCAATTTTAAAAGAGTTGTTTTTTTTTTTTCAATATAATTCGAGGTTCGTCTTCATTTCAAGTCTGGGCTGTGCAGTTTTCAAAACATTTTTCCATTTCGATCTTCCAATGTCTTCTATTAATTTATTTGATTTCTTTCACTTTAATATTTTCTAAGCTTGGTTTTGCATTCAATTTCAACAATGAAAAGTTGTATTTTTGTCAATATAATTCGATAGTTGTCTTTAATTTATGGCTGGGCTGTGAGCTGTGCAGTTTTAAAAACATTTTGATGTTTTTTTGTTTAACAACAACGAAATATTCCTTAAGCTTATAAAAACCAAAAAGTCTCTGGCTTCTCTGCTATTACTAATAATAGTTCTTCTGCTAAAAATGAACTTAGCTCCTCAAGTTTCCTTAGTCCATCTTCACTAAATGTGCAAACACTTGAGCAGTATCAGCTTTAGGAAACATAAATTACACATCCGCCGCATATGCCCGTCACGCTCACATCCACGCACACACACACACACACATTCGCATACGCAGCCAAATAAAAGTCAATTTCATTTTTGGCAATTTGGGCTTGCAAGAAGATTGCAGGCAGCTACAAAAAAATCAACAACAATAGCAACAATAACAATAGCAACAGCAATGGCAATGGCAACAGCTTCAGCAGAAATAAAACTGCCATTTGCCTGTGTGATGACAATTTGTCACAATTTTTATTGCTCGGCCAGTCTATACGTGTATTGCAGGTAACGTGGCAGATGAACATCAAAAACGACAGCAACAACAGCAACATCATTTGGAGGGGGGGAATGGGGGGCAATGGAAATGGAAATGGCAACAAATGTTGCAGAACTTCATAAACTAAGAATTCATGTGGCAGCCAAGCGCAATACACGAGCACAAAGGCAGCATAAAACAAATTGCCATTTGTTGCAATAAATACAAGAGAGAACAATAGCGTCTCACACACACACACACACGCATATACACTCTGCATTGGTAGAACAACGGCAGAGCAGATGAAAAAATGTTGTTACAGCTTTTGACCAATGCGCACAATTGGCAATTTGTGAAGTTAAGCGAAATTAATGAGCAGTCAACAGTCGAGCGGGCAAATGGACAGACAAAAAAGCCAAAACCCAAGCCCAAGCCCAGGTGGGGGACAGGTGGAACAGGTATGTAAGAAAAAGCTGTATGTGTGGTTGTGTGTGTGTGTGTGTGGGTGGGCGATGCTTGCAATGCCCAAATAAAAGTCAGACACAAATCGCTCGCTAGACACAAGGCACAGGCACAGGCACAAGCTACAACGAGCACAGAGCCTGTTCATTAGCGGCGCTCCAGTTGGTACTCCCTCAAGTGGTCGGTGCTCGGTAGTCGGTGGTCGGTGGGCCAAGGCTGGGCATAAATCTTCATCGTGGCTGCCGTCGTGAGTGCGAATGCGCCTTGAATTTTTATTTCATTTCATTTATTTTGACATTTGACTGCATTGCCTGTTGGTTGCCCGAAAACAATGGCGCTTTGATGTTGGTCAATGATTTTTAGCGGCATAGCCTTGAGCCAAGTGCCCCGCGCATGAATGAACCATTGTGGTTCTTTATTGTTGGACAGCGGGGCGTCGTTAATGTTTATGGGGCGTATTGGTGGCCATTGGTTGCCATTAATACTTAGCTAATTTGATTTAATTCAAATGAACTCTGGCCCGAGTTGAAGGATTGCAAATGACACAAATACAAGCTGGCAGGTATTTTGTAACAGATAATCGTAGTTGATATCAGCATTGTCTTTAAAGGTACTTATTTTAAATGCCGCATTTACTTTAATGAGCTCCCAACCTTTGTTGAAAATAGATTTTTCTATGGATTGATTGATGGAATAAATTACGTCTTCTTTATTCTCTGACTTGAAGCAGACTGATACGAGCTAGAGTGAGATCAGGGAAACACCTAAAAGCTGAAGGTATTTGTCTTAAAAGTAACTCGTCCTAAAACAAAGCTCTTAATACACCTGACACACAACATTCTTCAGATAGGATAGTCAGAAACTTCTCCATAACTTCTTCACTCAGAAGGAAGCAAATATATGATTACAATATTGAATATGCTATCAATTAGATGCTTCATGATTGATATATGTGCAATAAGTTATGAACAGAAATAATCCCATACATTTTGAATACCGGTTAGTTGTCAAATGATTGTGAAATGTTTGATAAAATATGAGCATTAAAAACAATATTTTTCATTTCACAAAAATTACGAAACACTTTTTATAAATAATTTGGGCATGATATTTTCAGAAAACATTGTTTTTAACAATTCAATATAATATTGTAATAATTATATTATAATTATTATAATTTTGCTTTCAGTTGCATCTCAATGCGGCTTTGATAATTAGTGGATTGATTTTTATGAAGTTTTAATTGTCAAATAGATTTTTTTTTTCAATTCTACACTATACATATATCTTTTAATTGTTTCTTTTTTGGTTAATTTATAAATAATAAATATGTTATGTCAGCTTTGTTAATCTTATATAAATCTAAGGCAGATTTAACTCATTTGAATAAATCAGCATTTAATTAAATAAAATATAATAGTGCGATAAAAAGGCATGCTTTGCTTCCTGAATAGAATCCACCAAAGAGCTGACCAAATTATTTTTTTGCAAAACAGTTTTTCGTTTTTAGAAATTGTGACTAGGTTCGAAGTCTGCAAAATTGTTACAAATCTAATTCGCAATTTGAATTGAATTTCTCATTTCAATATATTTTCTCTGAGAATATGGTATTTTTGAAAGCATTCGAAGTCAATTGTGACTCCATTACTGTGGTGATTTCATTTCGTTAGTTAAGTTGATTCTCTTCATAAAGCAGTCCTCTGCTTGTCACAGACATTGCTGCACATGAAAAGTATTTATACTCTTGCTCCGATTTCGCTGAGTAGGACACAGACAATGAGCTTTATAAAGGTCATCAAATAGACTGCAGCGCTTACGGCAGGCGCAGTGCAGCGCAGCGCTGGCAAATGCTTCTGTTCTCTTCTGTTCTGGACAATAAAGGTGCGCCAAACTTAATTTAAACAT